TCCTATACATTGTAGGATGTTGAGCAGCATCCCTGGTCTCTGCCCGCTAGATGCCAGTAGCACCTTCCCCCAAATTGTGAAAACCAAAAGTGTCTCCAGACATTGCTAAGGGTCCCTGGAGAACAAAATACCTCTCCTTTTTCCTCCCCCTGACCCCCTGCCCTAAAATGTCAACTCCTGGCTGCTCCCTATGAAAGGTTTGTGCTAGTTCACTTTTCACCTATGAATTGAAGCACTGGGCTAGCTCTGAATGCAGAATATGCAAACAAACATGACTTAAGATAACATACACTTATTTACTCATTATATTAGAATATCTTAAAATTGCTCAAATTATTAATATGTTTGCATCTAGAAAAATATGACCTTATTTTTTAAGGTAAAAGACAAAGCCATTAAACATGAATTTTATGTTTATTATTGGGAATTCCGTGTAGCTTCATAATTCCAAAATTAGCTTCCTTAAGCCTCCATTAGTGAGACTAAGCTTTGAATTTTTTTAGGCAGTTCTAAATTAAAACCTAACAAACTCATTTCAATTAGATAAGAAAAGGGAGAATATGGCCTAAAAATGCCTCTATAAGAAACAGAAAATGGCCTTGAACAATACCATATTATTTCCTTATAAAAATGTTATACAGGGTGGGGCAAAAGTATGTTAACAGTTGTTCATATGGAAAATAGTAAAAATAAATAATAATACAAGAATAAACTGTTTCACGTCCTCTCAGCTGTAACCCTACTTTTGCTCCACCCTGTATTTGTATGTTTTAAAAGAAGGAAAGGAAAAGTGTCATGTCACTGAAGCCAGTGTGACCTGTCCTGTGGTCTCTCTCCAGGGCCCGCCCCTTTGATGCAGCTGTGCCGCCTTAGAATCCGGAAGTGCTTTGGGATCCAGCAGCATCATCAGATCGCCGGACTCCTCCTCCCGGAGGAACTGAAACGGTTTCTCCTACACATTTAAATGTGTCAAGGCAAGCATTATTGAATGCCGTCGCCACAGGAATTTGACAATAAAGTTGAGCTTCTAGAGCATGGCTAGTTTTTTTCAGTTGGATTTTTGCTTTCAACGAAAACACACTAGGTACTTTTGCATTATTGGTTGGAAGACATGAAGCTATTTTTTCCCTCCTGCCTGGAAGAGGGTGGCTAAAAGAACAACTATTGTTCTGAATATCTACTACATGCCAGTGAGCCAGGAACACTTGGTGCATTATCTAATTTAGCCCTCACAGCGATCCTGTCAGTTGGGTGCTGTCCCTGCTCTTCTCCAGGTGACACACAGAGATCTGGGAGGTCAGTTTGTCTAGTTACCCACAGCAGGGATAGGAGAGCCGGATTTGAGTACAGTTTTTCTAATGCTAACCTGGGGACTTTGGAGTGAGGCAGAATTTTCTAATGTCACTATTCTGACTCCATCTGCATTACATGGGAGGGCAGATAAAGAAAAAAGACATTTCTTTGCTACATATGACTTTTTAAAAAACATTCCCTGTTCTTATGACAAAATCATTGTTGCCCTAGTATAGTGTAGGGGCCAGTTCTTTTTCTCAACCCAAATATTACATACAAATTAGGCGTGTTCTAGAACAGTACTATCCAATACAGTAGCTTCTAGCCCAGTGGTTCTCAACCAGGGTGATTTTGCCCCCTATAGGACACTTGGCAATGTTTGGAGACTTTTTTGATTGTCACAACTGGGGGAAGATGGGAGGTATGTGCTACTGGCATCTAGTGGATACAGACCAAGGATGCTGCTAAACACCTTACAATGCACAGGACAGTGCCCACAACAAAAAATTATTCAGCCCAAAATGTAGGTAGTGCCAAGGTTGAGAAACCCTCCACTAGCTATATGTGGCTATTTTTAAAAATGTAAAGTAAGATTAGATAAAATTAAAAATTCAGTTCCTTAGTGTAATTAGCCATATTTCACAGGTTTAATAACCACACATGGCTAGTGGCTATTATATTGGACAGAACAGATATATGCCATTACAGAAACTTCTTTCTCTCCATTGTTGCAGAAGTTTCTTCTGAAGAAATTTCTTTTAGACAGCGTTCTTCGCCGTGGTGCTCCACAAATGGATTTTAACTGCCTTTCAGTTTCTGATTTACGTGAGACTTGTGACATAATTTAGTAATGAATGGCTGTAGTTTCAGTCTTCTTTCTGAGATGAATTTGGAGTTCCACTCCATCAATGTAAAGAAAGAAAATATTGTACCTACTTTAAGGCAAATATATTCCTATACGATGACATATGGCCTAGATGATCTCTAAAGATGTTTTCGATATAATTTTCTGTGATTCAAAATGCAATTTGCCACAGGAAAAAAAATACTTAGACCGTTGTTCTAAAATACCCAGTTAGTTACCCAACAGATGGCGCTGCTGCCACACAGGCGCAAGCAAAAGGCTTGCTCCGCATAAATAACCCATTATAAGATGGTTTACAACATAGGCTCTGGAAATTTCCATCCAGGAATGAAAACTTTGTAGTGATAAATGCCACTGACATTGGGTTTCCTTCTTTTCCAGTGTACCCCAAAATTCAAATGTGGCTTTACAGGACCTCACCTCCCTGCTGCTTTTTTTTTTCTTCTTGATCTGATCATGTTCACATGTATAACTGCTCAGAATTTAGACAGCATCCTGCCACTTGCTAATTCATTTAATTCCATTAATTCATTTACTCAGGAAATATGTGTCTGTGATAGGCATTATTATCACAGACACCAGGGTGGCCACAGTGAATGACAAAGGCAAAGATACTGACTTTCCGGATCTTATACTCTAGTTGGGGGAGTCATTTGCTAAGGAGAAAGGGGCCGTAAGCATTTTGCTATAATTTTCTTTTTGAAAACACTAAAGAAGAGCCTGTTTTCTCATCTAAAATGTATTGGACAGACATTCGCTTATGTTAATCTTTCCTTGGCTAAATCCTCTGAGTTTAACCCAGGACTGTACAGAATTACTAGAACAGCATTTTTCTTCTTAAATCTTCCAGACAATTAACCAATTTGAAAATCCATAAAATAGATGGTCATATCTGCAAATGGGAAAAGTATTACCACCACCTCCCTTCTTGCAATTTAGGACAATTTCAAATTACCTCACTTAGCAATGCTCAGAAAGAAGGTTCTATTAAAATAGAAAGTCTATGTTTATGAGTCTAGATGTAGTAATATTTATAAGTGGCATACTGTATATCTTTAAATGTTTTATCATCACAATCTGTCACAACTTCATAAATTCTATCATTAAAGCTGCTTCAGTGACTTTAATAGACCCCCTTACCTTCATGAATGAGGGATGTAAATGTTTAGCCTCGTGAAACAATCTTTTAAAAATGATAATGACTTTGTTTTTAGAGAGCAAACTTAGCCCATATTTATTATAGCTCAGTCTCATATTGTCGGTTTACTACATTTCCTTGGTTTTATCCAGTAGAAGTGCTGAGCGGTGAGTACACATTGCTAGCACAATTTATGTTATAATGAAGGAAGAAAGCAAGAAGTCAGGGAAGGACAATTGATTTATTCTAGGTTTGTGTTGGGGCTTATTGACGTGGTCTGATCCTCTGTATGGTAGGCTGGAGCGGTTAGTCATTAGGCAGGCACTCGAGGTTCAGAAACACGGGATCAAAATGTGCTCAGTCGTCTATTCTGGGGCATGGGGTTGGGCATTTATTATATGATGAAAACCCAGCATTGGGGATTGAGTATAAGACCCAGTGAGCATTACAAGCAATTGAACAACTCCCACTTCAGAAGGCTTGTTAACAGTAGGCCCCATGCATCAGGGATTTATAAGCCTCACCCAAACCCTTCACCTAGATTAGTGTTTAATTTACAGATGGGGATAAAGAAGGGTTAAGGAATTTGCAAAAGTCACACAGTGGGTAGTGAAGCCAGAGTTTAAGGCAGGAGCCAGAGCTCTTAACCCTTATACTTTCTTTTATTTTCTTCAGTAAACCTCAGCGCTCTGGTCCCTGGGTCCTAAAAACCCTGCCTACCTCCCCTCCCTGGCAGGTGTTGGAAGCGGAGGTGTGGAGGTGTAGCCATCTGTAGATCAAAGGTCTCGTGGCATGATGCCAGATGGCTGTACCAACTTTAGGGTGGACATCACTCAGCCCTTGTTCTGACCATATGAACCAGCCTGGGAGGCCCCAAACCTGCTGCCTCTTGGGACAGGTGGGTCAGCTTCGCCCTGCCAGGGATGCTGGTGAGTACAGAACAACACTTTCCCAGGGTGCAAGCCTGGTGTGGCAAATGAGATTGTCCATTTTTTCCTGAACTGAGAGTATTTTGTGTTGACATTGTCAGTGACAAAATCTTTATCTGTAATGTGGCAGGTTGGAGGGGAAGCTGCCTGGGCTTTGAACGAAATCATCTGACTCTGTATGTTGACTTTTTATCCTTTTATTTCTTGCTGTATTAGTGTTTTATTACTGCATAATGAATTACCACGAGCTTAGTGGCTTAAAGCAACACAAAGTTATTTCATAGTTTCTGTAGGTCAGAAGTCCAGGCACGGTGTGACTGCATTCTCTACTAAGGGCTGAAGTCAGCGTGTTAGCTAAGGCTGCAGTTCTCATCTGGGCTGTAAGGGTCTTCCTTTAAGATCACTGGTTGTTGGCAGAATTCAGTTCTTTGCGGTTGCAGGACTTGGGCCCCTCCGTTCCTGCTAGCTGTCAGCTGAGGACTGGCCTCAGCATCTAGAGGCCACCCACATGTTCCTTGCCATGTGGACCCTCCATAGGAAGTTCACAGCATGGCTTTCTTCCAGGCCAGGTGGAGTGCATCTCCCGTGGCCCGCTGGAGGAAACTGCTTTTGATTAGGTCAGACCTACCTGGATAATCTCCTGAGTTGCGACCTTAATTACATAGGCAAAAGCCTTTCAAATGAACGCCTAGATGAGTGTTTAATTGAATAATTGGCAGAAGGATTGTGTATAGCAGGGCCCAGAATCTTGGGGTCCATCTTAGAATTCTGCCTACCATATCTGCTAATGGCTGATAACTATAAGTTTTGTGTTGATTTGGCTTATTCTACAGCCACTGGAGGTCCGTCTGGTCAGATGGCCCAGCAGCCCCCGACTGCCAGAGGCACCCACCATCACAGGCAGGATAAGGCCTTCTGTTAGATGTACCCTGGAGGCTTGTT